GGCGCAGCCGCTCTCCGCCGGCAATGCATCACACCGGGGTGGGTGTGACCGCGGACCCCTGCATGGCACAATCCTGCGCGGCACACGCTCGGAGCCGGACGGCGCGGGGAGGAGGGGAGGGAAAGCGGGGCACGGCGAGCTGGCGGAGGCTGGGGGACGCAGGAGGAGGTGGGGGCTGCCAGACAAAGGCAGGATCGGGGGGGGCGGGGGCCCCCACCCAACGCCAGCACGCTTTCCCACTGCCCTAGATTCCGGCCGGCTGCTCTGCGGCGCGGTTCACTCGGTCAGCGCGGCATCCAGCAGCCGGATCGGATGCGCGGAGCGTGCGTGTCTCCCTAGAAAATTCCCTTTGTCTCTCTCTCCCAGACCCATTTTCTCCTCCCACCTCCAGTTCAAACCGCACAAAGTCGATCCCGTTCTGCACTTTTCCCTGGTGTAAATTCAGATGGATTCTCATTAACACTTTATAACAAATCCGACACCGACTGCAATTTCTCCTCTCCCTTTAAGGCCGATCTCAAGCTGCCAGAGCGGCGGACGGAGGTTGATTTTCGGGCCCCACCAGCCCGGGTGGCTTTAGCTCCAAGATTTACGCGAAGCAAGCAGACAACAGGATCTGCCCCCCTCGCTGCTTCTCGGATGCTGTACATCCACCTCCACATGGTGGGTGGGGGAGCTGCAATCACCAGACTTCCTCAATGAAAAAGGCTTCCTTGGACTATTTTTAAATGCTGAAAGCGTTAGAGCATGTTTGGAGCTACACAAAGAGCCCGATCACCTGGGGTTAGTGGGGCCTCTTGTTATTTGACTTCACCTTGCCAAGAAAGAGCAATTTACGTTAAGCTCCTCTCTCACATAATCTCATTCCTGTTGACAACAGGCTAGTTAGAGCGGGCTGGGAGATGCTTCATCAAAGGGTGTCTCTGGGTACAGGTGACAATGGATGCTACCACTGACGATGGGAGCAAAAAGACTCTTCCAGGGAAGGGACCTGCTGGGAGCGGACGGCTCGTGCCGTTGTGCTCCACGCAGCAGGAAGCCAAACTGACCCGCTACCTTCTCCCCGCGCCTGCACACACCGGGCACACAAAGAACCGTGCCCGTGGCTACCTAACTACAAGATCCAGCCTTAAGAGTCCAGCAGCCTCCTCCCTGGCTCCACGGACGGCAGCCCAGTTTGGCAGCGGGAGCAGATTTCACACCGGCAGAAAAGTCAGATGCGCATCTTCATCAGGCTGACCTACGCCTGCCTCAGGTGACTTCTCAGGAAGAACGTGGACATCGTGGTGGCTGAGGATTTCTGTCCCTTTTTAAGTTCACGGTCTGAACGGCCAAAGCACAACACCTTTAGACACCTTCCCAGCATCTCTCCCATCTCAACCCACACCCTTGGCTCGCAAGAACCTTCTCCTTTGCAATGCTCTTGGTGTCCCACCATCTCCTCAAGAACCACCTGCAAACCACTTCAAGTGCTTTGTCTTTACACCCTGGCAAATTTTACGTGCGTAGCCCTGAGAACACGCGCAGTCCCACAGAGGGTGTTGCAGGGAAGATGCCCAGCACAGGAGTCAGCAGGCAAAATACAAGAGCCACCAAGCGCCCCAGTGTACCACGCAGGTCCAGACCGGCTCCAGAAGAACCAGGGAGCACCGTGCACGCCACGCCACGTGCCAGGAGGTTCAGCCACCCAAGCTCAGCACGGCTGGAGTTTGCACACCAAAGGAAGGGGGGAACGATCTGCAGGAGCCGCGAGACAGGCAGAGACATCCCTGCTCCTCACCCAGTTGCTACAGGAGATCACGCATGGAGGTCACGGCTCCACTCCCAGCCAGGGAAGGGAAGTCATTGCCAACCATGGCCAGGGGCAGAGCGGAAGAGGTCATAAACACCAGTCAAAGGGATTTTTAGGACTTTATCGCCTCATTCCGGGGCTTGGAGCAACCTGGTCTAGTGGGAGGTGTCCCTGCTCACGGCAGGGGGGTTGGAACTGGATGATCTTTAGGGTCCCTTCCAACCCAATCCCTTCTATGATTCCACGATCCTTCCTTTTCCAGTTTCCTCTCCTGCAATTTGCAAAGCAGTCCTTGGCACATCCCACCAGTCACCCCGCTCTCCACCACAGACCCTGGGGCATCCTGATGGAGGAGCAGCTCTCAGCACCCGTCCAGCCAATTCCCGCAAAGTCCTCCTTTACGCAGCTCACAATCTCGTCCTGGCGAGTCCCCCATCCTGCCCGGCTAGCGGTCGCGCCACTAAAGAAGCGCCGCTCGAATTCAGCGCACAAACCGGCACCAGCGCAAACTCGAGCAAGGTTTCCAGCACGCGATTGGCTCCATCCGCCGGGGCACGGTAACAGTTCCCGGGGAACGCAGGGAGCCGCCAAGCACAGGTTTCGCTCCTGCAGCATCTTTCCTTCCAAGTGGAGCCGCCCCCTCCGCCACAATTAAACCTCTTCGCAAATCACACTTACAAACGGTCCTATAAAAATATATGGGGATTGAACCTTATTTATACTCAAGTACCTTTACGCTCTTCTGGCAAAGTAAAGGGCAGCATCTTTGGGCAGGTGGAAATCCCACCGCCAGACGCCCGTAGAAGGGCCCCCGTGCCCACATCCAGGCCTCTTACACGCGTACGTGTCGGAAAGGTACACTTTCAAAGATGGTAGATAGTATTTTCAAACCATACGAAGGACCAGTGCGGTTTGTCAGATCAGAAAACACTAAGTTAAAGAAAAAGCTGAAGCCTGATACCGATTAAAGCCCTGAAATAATTTCTATTTCACTATTACTTCTTTTTTCGCTCTCTTTCCCAAGACGTTCATCACCCTCTTCACGAGTACCCATAAAACCCTCATTTCCTTCAGAAACCATCAGCCCCACGAGCGGTATTACCAAGGGGGTGACAATCTGCAGTTTCTGGGTACCCTGGGGGAATCCTGCTCAGGCATCCACGAACGCGCAGAATTCGGCCCCCTGGGGTGCCCCGCGCCCAGCGCCGGCTTCATAATCCAGCTTTCCACCCAAAAAAAAGCCCCAGGAGACATTCCTATAGGCCTTTAAAAATCAGAAAGTGTGGGCCCCAATCTCTGCCGGAGCAAAGAGTTTGGGCTTCTTTGCTGAGAAGCAGCGAAGGATTCCACCAGCGCAGGATCCGGCACACCCGCCTCTAGAAGGGGGCACAGCTCGCACCACCGCCTGACCCGCGAACCGACCGAGCGCCGCCGAGTCCGCCTCGCCGCGGCTCCGGCCCGCCGACATTTCC